TCAATGAGCAAAGAATCAAGGTTCCACTACCTCCATGATAACATTGCTTAGATATTATCTATGAAAAATTTGCTTTGAATTATTTTCTAATCTGTGAAGTACAAACTTTAGTGATGTCCATCTAACTTCTGAAAATGGTTTTCTTTCAGAGTTACTATGTGCAAAGAAGAAAACAGGAGAGAAGCTAGGTATATGACTATAGCCATTTTCTACAAGCATTGTCATTTAATTCCTTGCAAAGATGCTATTTCTAGCACCAGAGATATTCTTTTTTCCCACAAAAAATGTTACAGACAGGAAATGTTTTGGATAGTGTAAAAACATTTCCTGATAAACATTTTATCACAGCTTGATAACCATTTCCTGTTGGTAGGATTTGTTTTAACTATTGACATTTTGTTTGCTTTCTTGCTATAATTAACACACATGTGGGATCTGGCTAAGTGTGCTCATCCTGTTAAACAAAGGTTTTGACAAGTCACACATTTAATTAAAATGTCATGCAAGATTTTATATTGTCCATTTCCCTTCATTTCAACTTCTCCTGGAGCAATAAATGAAGGAGCAATACAGGCACAGCATTCTGAGACCGGGGAATTCCCAGAAGGGTGGAGGTTCCTCAATATTCCGAACAGAGCATTGTCTGCTGTGAGCTCAGTGGTTTCAGTAAGCTTCCAAAATAGCTTTAGATGACAAGGTGGGACTTCACATAAGATCTTGTTGTTTAATACAGACTTGAACTTGAATTGACCTGAAGAATAACAGAAGAAATTTGTCACTTTTTAAGCAGCTTTGAAGCATTGTCCTTGCAAGCTAATATTAAAAGGAGACCTCATTCAAGAATTGTGAAATTAATCACATTTTTTAGCTATCCAAATATCTTTTCAGTCAGCAGAACCACTTTTGCCATTTTTGTACCTACCTACTTACTTTGTAAGTGGTAAGAGTATCGCTTGCATCCAGCTCAGTCTGGTTCTCATTCACACGAAGACCAGAGGCATATTTAGCTATGGCTCTGCTAAACTGTAGATGGCCAGGACACAGCCTCTCTCCCTGCCTGGAGGCATAGCCTAGCTCATGTCCATATTATTTAGGGCTGTATTCCCCTTAAGATCAGATTTGCCAATCAACACTACATCTCCCCTGTGCTGTTTGTCATCCTGTGGCCTTCAAACTTGCTTATGTTTGGTAGGTTTTTGGTCCAGCTCATTGTATTTGAAAGTGGCTGTTTATTACCTTTTGTTCAAAAGTTTCACCTCCACAGTTTAAAAATGAACAAACAAACAAAAACAAAACAAACAAAATTAGGCCACTTTAATGAAAGCATGTAGTATTTGAGGGTGCAACACCTGCTGAAACAAACAAAAACAAAACAAACAAAATTAGGCCACTTTAATGAAAGCATGTAGTATTTGAGGGTGCAACACCTGCTGAGACAGCATTGAGGGAGTCTACAGAGAGCAGACTTGGAGCAGGGTTATCCATAGAGCCCACTGGAAATGATGTTTAACATGCACTACCCTTGAACTGTGCTAGTTGGCACAGGCCAAGTCTGCTGGGAAGCCAGCTAACCAGCAGCCTGGGTGATTAGAGGTCAAGTGGTCAGACACAAGGAGTTTATGGAGTCTAAATAACACTTTGCCTTAGGCTGTTGGAAATGCCTATTTCTGTTGTAAATGCCTGAGGAAAGAAAAATCTAGAATTCAAGAATTTGGGAAAAGCCTACATGCATAGGGTTGAATTTGAAAAAAAACCAACAACAACATATATTGGTGTGTTGTGGATAACTGTATTTTGCATGCACATCCTGAATGTATTTTTGGAAAAATATCCAAGAAAACAGAATCTTAAAGGAATCTTTTGGGGATTTGCTTATTTACTTTTAATTAGACTAGAAAAGAGTAAATAAAGTATTCTAACAAAGAGTTGATCCCAGTCATGCAACCCAGTGCTGA